AATTTGGAAGTTCTCGCCTCATTGATATCCTCTGGCAGCAAAGTGCACAAGCAGCCCCACACTGCATAGAGAAGCACATATTTGAATTTTCAGACTTACTCTTGCGAGGATCCAGGCTGCCCCGTTTGAATCATGCCCGGCCAAAACTGAAAGAGGAAAAACAAACAGACCCACAATTGTTTTCCTTGTTCAAAGATTTGGGATATTTCTGAACAAGCATGATTCCTTTTGCAAACACAAGTGAAAGCATTAATCCATTCATTCAGCCTTAGTTTTCTACTGAACATTGTTAGAGAATACAGGGATTTGGGGGGGGGGACTTGGCTAACAACTTACCCCAGGTGCCCCAGGAAATGTAGGACGGGGAATTCCTGGCAGGCCCAGCTTGTTGTGAATGGCAGTAGCTGAGACTATCTGAGCTGATGACATTGCTGCCATGTGCTGGAGTGCTTTGTCCTTTGCTGTCTGATCCTTTAATATGACAATTACACAGAGTCTTAAAACATTTGGCACAACAAGTTACGTTAAAGAACAGTAGCTACAGGCACATTACTAAAAACTTAAAAAGCCGCACAGAAAATGCAAAAATAGCAAACCATGCAGGAAAATAAAAATACAGCACAGAGGCTAACACTCAAACTACTTCAAGGCAAAATCTCCTCTCAGACATGCGTAGTAGACCTGAATTCTCACCGTCTGCTCTGCCAATACGCAGGAAGCTCTGGGAGAGCAAACTACTGCCTGCTTGTTTATCTGGGCAAATTCTGCTGATTTTAAATCAGGCTGGACTAAACACCGTCTGCTGCTAAGGCTCTGCCTGCAGGACAGGGAGCACAGAGATTTAAGCTCCATCATTTAGATCTAAGAGAAGTTTGCCTTTCGTATCACACTCTAAAATGAGAACACAGAACTGCAATTGACTCACAAACAATGACACATTTTTCTTCATGCTTACAGGTTTAGAAACATTTTGGACTCTGTTTTATGACAAGTATTTTAAAAATTAGATAACAAAAATGTAAACAACAGTTTGAAATTTCAATTTTGGTATTTTACTGTTTTACAGTGTTCCCAAAGAAAACAATCAGCCATAAAATTTCTGCTTTTTTCAAGCATACAGGAACAAGTTTAGGAAAAGATGGGTTGTTATTGATCACTTGTATTAGAGCAGCACTTGGAGTCCTAGTCACTGCCAATTACGTACAATCACAGAATAGAAAAGGAAAGCCTTTTAATGCAACAGAGTTAACTAAGTGGATATCTTAGGTCAGGTAAAATCAGTAAACAACAGACTGTTACTATGTGGTAAAGTGGGGTTCCTCACCAAGAAGTAATGTATTAATAAGTGCTAATATTTAGGTACGTGACTTGGAATGAACACAAGCAGTATTAAGCAAGGATTTGGGGGGGTGGGGGGTTCTGGTTTTGTTTTACAAGCAAAGTAGCAAGCATGCTGGCAAGAGATGCATGCTCTTATATATGACATATGGCTTTGCACATATGCTCCCTCTAAAGCTGGTATGTAGTAGTAGTATAGGTGAGCAGTTTCTTCCTTTGAATAGCTCCTTTAGAAACAGCACAGGCTGAAAGTACAGGAAAAGCTAGCCAAAAATTCTGCCAAGCACAGCTAAGGTACATAATACTTGGTTTAGTTAAAATACTTACCATGCTTGTTACCTGGATACAACAACAAACAGTTTATTAAAATGCTTGTGTACAATAGCAGAGTCTTAGCAAAATATGAACAAAGAGACAAAGGAAGAGCATTTTGCTCAACATTAAATATCAGGTTTAAATAAATCTATTATTTTCACCCAGGGACTGATTCATTAAAAGGAAAAAAAAAAAAGAATAAAAAACTAACAACAAAACACTGGGGGAAATAACCCCCGCCTCCCTGCGTGAAAGCTGCAGACAGTGGATGAAGGGGCTTGCGCCGCTGTGGGATGCAGCCCGGGAGAGCGGCAGGGGGAGCAGGGGAGTAGCTGCACCTTTGCACCTCGCAGGGTGCCAGCCGGAGGCGCAGCCCGCTGCAGTGCTGCCTGCAGTAGCATCCATGCCTGCGGACCCACCTGCACTGCCTTCTGACCTGCCCGAGCCTCTGCACAGCCTGGCTGCAGCTGGCAATGCATCCACAGAGCAGCTTCTGGAGGCAGCGGGACACGCTGTCCATCAGCGCGTGAACAAATCACAGTCGTTTCTCCAGCTTGCAGCTTTCCCATATAACCGCGATCAGTTCACTGGGTAAGAGCTGGAAGCCAGCTCTGGCTGTGCCGGCTGGGGGGGG